CCAACCAGTCCATCCTAAAGATCAGTCCTGGGTGTTCATTGGAAGGGCTGATGTTGAAGCTGAAACTCCAATACTTTGGTCGCCTGATACAAAGAGCTGACTCATTTGAAAAGACCCTAATGCTGGGAAGGATTGGGGGCAGAAGGAGAAGGGGACAACAGAGGATGAGACGGTTGAATGGCATCGTCAACTCAATGGACGTGAGTTTGGGTAAATTCTGGGAGTTGGTGATGGACACGGAGGCCTGGCATGCTGCGGTTCATGAGGTCACACACAGTTGGACACGACCGAGTGACTGAACTAAAGTCTTTCAATCCATAAACATGGGGTTTCTTTCCATTTTTTCCTTTTTGGTCTTCTTTCATTAGTGTTTTATAGTTTTCAGTGTAAAGTCTTTTACTTTCTTCGTAAGTTAATTCTTAAGTATTTTTTTTAAATTTAATTTTTTTAGTTTTTTTTCTTATTGATGCTATTGTAAGGGAAATTGTTTTCTTAATTTTTCTTTCAGATAGTTTGTTGTTACTGAACAAGACACAGTTGATTTTTGTATGTTGATTTTCTTTTTTTTTTTTTTTTGGTATGTTGATTTTCTACTCTGCAACTTAATTAGTTTTAACAGTTTTTGTAGTGGAGTCTTTAGGGGTTTCTATTTATAGAATAGAAATCTGTCATCTGCAAAGAGACATTTTACCTCTTCCTTTTATATTTGGATGACTTTTATTCCTTTTTTTTTTCTTCTTTTTTTGCCTAATTGCTCTGATTAGGACATCAAGTATGACGTTAAATAGAAATGACAATGAGTGGGCATCCTTGTCTTCTTCTTGATCTTGAAGGAAAAGCTTTCAGTTTTTCCACTGTTAAGTATGATGTTAGCTGTAGGTTTGTTTTATATGCCTCTCATTATGTCGAGGTACATTCCTTCTATATGTAGTTTATTGAGTATTTTTATCATGAAAAAGTATTGATTTTTTTCAAATGCTTTTACATCTATTGAAATGTTTGTATACTTTAATCTCTCATTCTGTTAATATGGTTTATGACATTTATTGATTTGCATATATCGAAGCATCCTTACATCCCAGGGATAAATTCCACTTGATCATAGTGTATGATCTTTTTAATAAGCTGTTGAATAGGTTTGCTGCTATTTCATTGTGGATCTTTGCATCTATGTTTGTCAGGGATATTGGCCTGTAATTTTCTTTTCTTGTTCTGTCCTTATCTGACTTTGATATCAAAGTAATCCTGGCCTTGAACAATGAATTTGGGAGTGTCTCCTCTTTTTCAGTTTTTTTAAAGTGTTTGAGAAATACTGGCATTAATTCCTTTACTAGTTTGTGGAATTCACCAGTGAAGCCATTTGGTCCTGGGCTTTTCTTTTATGAGAGGTTTTCGATTACTGCTTCAGTCTTCTTAGTCGTTATTGATTTGTTCACATTTTCTGTTTCTTCATGAGTCAGTCTTGGTAGGCTGTATGTTTCAAGGAAATTGTGTATTTATTCCAGGTTTTCCAATTTGTTGGCATGTTCAAGTAGTTGCTCATGATCCTTTGTATTTCTGTGCCATCAGTTGTAATACAGTCTATTTTATTTCTATTTTTTAAAAATTTGAATCTTCTCTCTTTTTTTTCTTAGTCTAGCTAAATATTTGTCAATTTTGTTTATCTTTTCAAAACATTAGCTCTTAGTTTTGTTGATCTCTTCTATTGTTTTTCTATACCCTGTTTCCTTTATTTATGCTCTAATTTTAAAATCTCCTTCCTTCTGCCAACTTTGGGCTACAGAGCCTGTGCTCCACAACAAGGGAAGTCACTGCAATGAGCAGACCCCATGCACCTCAACTAGAGAGTAGCCTCCACTCAATGCAACAAGAGAAAATCCAAGCACATCAGTAAAGACCCAGGATGGCCCAAAATAAAATAAAATGTTAAAAAAGCATTATCAGAGGAAAATATTAATAAAGAAACTAATATAAATTGAAGGTCTTCTATCATTTAGCTCTCATAAGTCCCTGGGAAGGAGGTATTATTCCAGTTCTAAAATTCGGGAAACTGTGGCTTAGGGAGTCTAACAAGCCTGAGATTCTAGTCTCTGCTTTATATCATAATCACCCTGGGAATTTTAAGCAAATATGGATCCCTGGGCTTCCTGGTGCCCCAGAGCATAAGCTTTTCCTGAAGGTGGGACCTGCTCTCCTGTTCTGTAGGCAAACCTACACCAGTCATTCCAGTTACCGTGGCTCAGATTCTCTTCCACTATCCTTCAGTTATTAATGTTAGAATGGAGAAGGTGGGAGAATTGGGGACACTACCATTCTTACCTCTATTTGTCTTTTGCAACCGTGTGAATCTGGCATTTCACAAACCCAAACACAAGAGGAACTTGACTTACCTGGATTCATGGCTGTATCAGCATCTAGAACAGTGCCTGGCATGTGATGGATGCTTAATACATATTTGGAAAGAATGGGTGAATGACTAAGGACATCAGTGTAGGAGAAAGGTGATTCAGCGCGTTGTCACGCTGATCAAATCAAGGCCTCTCGCTACCATACCACACCCCAGGCCACACCTAGACGGGTGTTCCTTCCTAAAATTAGCCCCCCACTGCTGACTATTGCTGATGGCGGCAGCTACTGAATATAAAGGGGATCTGATACACGTGAGATAATATGAAAACTTTAGGATTTGCAGCAGAAACCATTGTCCTGTTCTGCCATTTAAGAAATAGTGTTGAAACCAGCAAGTGGCTTTCAGGTTTGTCCCGGGCAACATAGTTGTTTGGGCTTTCTTTACAAAATGCCAAGCAGGCTGATTATGTAAATATGTCCCTTTATGCCTGATCCCATATTGTTTGCCTGTTTGGGTAGCAGAATAAAAAAGAAAAGTGGCAGAACAAGGGCCTACTATATAGCACATGGGACTCTGCTCACTGTTTTGTGCCAGCCTGGATGAGAGGGGCATTTGGGAGAAAACAGACACCTGAAACTACCACAGTGTTGTTAATCCACTATACCCCAAAACAAAGTAAAAAGTTTGAAGTTTGGGGCGAAAAAAGGCAGGCCTGGGTCAAATCTCCTCTTAGTCAGAATAGCCATAGAACCTTGTGGTCACTGAAGCACTTTGAATCTTATGTTCAAATTTTCTATAAGGGCAGGAGGAGGGAAAAAAGGAGACAACTTTTTTGGTATTGGGAAGTGGTATTTGGTAGTGGGATTTGGTATTGGTATTTGGTAGTGGGAAGTATTGGTGCACACCTGGCTGTTTTGACATGCACTTTGGAGCATATTTGAGAAGCCTTACCTGACCTTCTCCAACTCCTCCAAAACACTGGCTTTCAAAAGCCCATGGTGCTCACTCTCTTCCTCATGGTTAAAGAAATTCAACACTGAAAGCATAGACTCAAGCACTGATATATTTACTGGCTAAGGATGGGGCCTTGGTTGAATTACTTAAGCTGGCTTAGCCTTAGTTTCATCTTCTGTAAAAAGGGGAAGACAATAGGGCTTATTAATGTAAGACTGTTAATAAGAATTAAACGGGATAATGCAGTGTCTGTCTCATAGCATGCATTCCATGAGTGCTGGCTATTTTAATCATTGTTATTAACTGGGTCAAATTTCCTGGGTGTTGGGAAGAGGTTCCGTTACTAAATAATGCTGGTAAAGCCATCTCTAAGAGATTGCTGGAGTGAAATGCTTCAGGCCTCTGATGTTGGATGGTTTCTGGCTCGAGCTCATTTACTCTCTGATCCCGTGACCTCAGGGTCTAAGGCAAGCCTCTCCTCATCTTTAGCCCTTAGTGCCCCACTGAACACCCCAAAACACATCTTTAAAGGAATCGGTCTAGGTCTCTAACCATGCTGAGCATGTTCTCTGCTACAGTTTGAAGGACCTCATCAAAACATCCTTCGTTTCTCTCATATCCTATTCCAATTCTTTGCCCGGGAAGCAGAAAAGAATCCAAATTAACCTTACCATGACTACAAGTTGCAACTTCCAAAGACCTAATCTGGCATTTTGAGACAAGACTAGTACAGTCATATGTAAATTGACTGAAAAAACTTGAAATATGTCCAGGATAGCAGCCACAGTCCTGTATGTAAATATATGAAATTGATCACCGAAGCTGAATGGAGCTGGATGTCCCCAGTCTTAAGAAACATGTACTGACGTACTTAGGGGTAAAAGGCCATCATGCTTGGAACTTAATCTGAAACAATAAAATCTTAACAATAGATGAATCTGGGTAAAGGGTATATGAGGTTGACTGGTACTTTTTTTGTGTACAACTTTCATAAGTTGGAAGCTATTTCCAGATAAAAATTTAAAAATAAAAACTTAAGAAAGGGGATATAATGTACAACATGGTACATATGTGTATTATTTATGAAAGTTGTTAGAGTAAATCTTGAGTTCTCATCACAAGAAAAAACATTTTTTTCTATTTCTTCAATTTTGTATCTATATGAAAAAAATTATTTTTGTATCTGTGTAAGAGGATGATTGTTCACTAAACTCATTGTGAGAATCATTTCATGATGTATGTAAGTCAAATCATGATGTACACTTTAAACATACAGTGCTATATGTCAACTATATGTCAATAAAACAGGAAGAAAAACAAAAACGAACAAAATCTAATAAGGGGACAAGGAACACCTGAATATTTTGTTAATCCTTTCCCAACTAACACAAGTGCTCTGAAGCAAATAGGTGAGGTTCTGGAGTAAATATTTCCCAGCAAATACAACTTCATTATAAAATACTCAGGTTTGAGGAGTATGCAAATACTATTCAAGCCAATCACCAGATGGGCGTTTATGTAATATCTTCTATTTCTGTCACAAGTAGTTCAGGTATGGTTTAATGAACCTCTAGGGGCTCACACAATAAATGGCTTGTTCAAGATCACCCAGCCAGTGACCCTGGCTTTGAGTCTGGAGACACATGCCTCAAGATCCATTTCTCTTTTCTGCCCGCCTCTCCCACCATGAGCCAGCATGGGCCAGCCCTGTCGGAATTTACTGTTTCCAGGGCACAGTATATAGCAACATGAGAAGATCTTGCATCTAAATCATGTATAAGGAGGCTTCCCTGGTGGCGTGGCTAAGACACTACACTCCATATGCAGGGGGGCCCGTGTTTGATCCCCGGTCAGGGAACTAGATCCCACAGGCCACAACTAAGACTGGATGCAGTCAAGTAAGTATATAAATAAATATTTTTTAAAAGATCGTGTATGAGGCTGTAGAAACAGTTGTAACAATAAGGGCATCACTACAGAAGGATTCACATGGAATCTAGTTCAGCCATTAAACAGGCCTTGTGAACTTTTAGCAGGAACTCCACAGATGATCTGCAATGGAAAGGAAACCCCCTAGATATTGGATTAGTGCTGTGTTTCAAAACCATATAAATATGAGGAGAGGGATAGGCTAGTGTTTACTTTCACATTTACTATTTTCTGTCTTATCTTCCCAGGTGGCACTAGTGGTAAAGAATCCTCCTGCCAATACAGGAGACATAAGAGACCCTGGTTTGATTCCCTGGAGGAGGGCATAGCAACCCACTCCAGTATTCTTGCCTGGGAAATCCCACAGACAGAGGAGCCTGATGGGCTACAGCCTATGGGGTTGCAAAAGAGTCGGACATGACTTAACGACTAAACAACAACAGCATTAAATAAATTACATCATATATTCAACACTTTGTTATAAAACAGGTTTTGTGTTAGGTGATTTTGCCCAACTGTAGGCTAATGGAAGTGTTCTTAGCATGTTTAAGGTAGGCTAGGCAAAGCTATGATGTTTAAGAGTATTAAGTACATTTTCAACTTATGATATTTTCAACTTACAGGGGGTTTGTTGGGGCATAACCCCATCAGGAGTCAAGGAAGACAGACTGAGAGAAATCCATCTCTTGTATAAAAAGGCATTTACTTCCCCTCTATAATCAGATGTGATATATGAATCTACCACTGTGCAGCCAGATAACAGATGAGGGAAAGTGTCTCCTTCTATGATCTGCCAAATAACATATGAGAACAAAAGGCTGGAATTAGAATATCAGCATTTTGCCACCTCCAGTGAATTAATTCATCTAGGCATTAGCATCAGTGTCTGCTAACATCAAAAAAAGAACAGAGAACTCTACTCAATATCTTGTAACAACCCATCTGGGGAAAGAATCTTGTATATATATAATATATATATATATATATATATAATATATATAAATATAATATATATAAATCTTGTATATATATAAAACACTTTGCTATACACCTGATACTAATGAAACATTGCAAATCAACTATACTCCAATATATAATAAAGTAAAAATTAAATTTTAAAAAGGAATGGAAATGAGACATTGTGTGTCCTCTGATGAAAGAATGCAGTGGCACCCATAGGCTTGCCAGAGGGATCACCCTGGTGGCTGATCAAGCCTTTGGGTCCAACTGTCACTTTGCAGGGAATTCAGGGGACAGAGGGAAATGCTGAGCTGCATCCAGAGCATGCAACCAAACAAATCCAGATGGAGAAACTACATAGCAACCTGTCACGATCTTCAGTGTACAAAGTGCGTGGAAAGGAAAGGATGAAGGGGAAAACCATAGACTAAATAGACTTCAGAGATACAGCAAGTTTGTTTTTTTTTTAAAAGAAAGAACTTCTATAATGTTCAGATATGCCTAAGTGGATGACAAATTCAAGGAAGTAACTCATGTATGAATCATAACATCTTTTTTCTTATTTTTTGGCCAGCCTGTGAGATTTTCGTTCCCAGATCAGGACCCTTGGCAGCAAAAGCACAGTCTTTTTTTTTTTTTAATTTTTATGATTATTATTTTTTTTCCATTTATTTTTATTAGTTGGAGGCTAATTACTTTACATCATTGCAGTGGTTTTTGTCATACATTGAAATGAATTAGCCATGGATTTACATGTATTCCCCATCCCGGTCCCCCCTCCCACCTCCCTCTCCACCCGATCCCTCTGGGTCTTCCCAGTGCACCAGGCCCGAGCACTTGTCTCATGCACCCAGCCTGGGCTGGTGATCTGTTTCACCCTAGATAATATACATGTTTCGATGCTGTTCTCTTGAAACATCCCACCCTCGCCTTCTCCCAGAGTCCACAAGTCTGTTCTATACATCTGAGTCTCTTTTTCTGTTTTGCATATAGGGTTATCGTTACCATCTTTCTAAATTCCATATATATGTGTTAGTATACTGTAACGGTCTTTATCTTTCTGGCTTACTTCGCTCTGTATAATGGGCTCCAGTTTCATCCATCTCATTAGAACTGATTCAAATGAATTCTTTTTAATGGCTGAGTAATATTCCATGGTGTATATGTACCACAGCTTCCTCATCCATTCGTCTGCTGATGGGCATCTAGGTTGCTTCCATGTCCTGGCTATTATAAACAGTGCTGCGATGAACACTGGGGTACACGTGTCTCTTTCAGATCTGGTTTCCTCGGTGTGTATGCCCAGAAGTGGGATTGCTGGGTCATATGGCAGTTCTATTTCCAGCTTTTCAAGAAATCTCCACACTGTTTTCCATAGTGGCTGTACTAATTTGCATTCCCACCAACAGTGTAAGAGGGTTCCCTTTTCTCCACACCCTCTCCAGCATTTATTGCTTGTAGACTTCTGGATAGCAGCCATCCTGACTGGCGTGTAATGGTACCTCATTGTGGTTTTGATTTGCATTTCTCTGATAATGAGTGATGTTGAGCATCTTTTCATGTGTTTTTGCGCCATCTGTATGTCTTCCTTGGAGAAATGTCTGTTTAGTTCTTTGGCCCATTTTTTGATTGGGTCATTTATTTTTCTGGAGTTGAGCTGGAGGAGTTGCTTGTATATTTTTGAGATTAATCCTTTGTCTGTTGCTTCATTTGCTATTATTTTCTCCCAATCTGAGGGCTGTCTTTTCACCTTGCTTATAGTTTCCTTTGTTGAAAAGCACCGAGTCTTAACCATTGGACTGCCAGGGAATTCCTGGAAGTACCTACTCTAAAAATCAAGAATTGTGATTACTTTGGAGGGAGGCCTGGGGTGATGAATGGGATGAGGCACATGGAAGGCAACTGGGGGTTCCTGGCCAACCTCTTCTTTTTGACTTGGGTGAAGTTTTAAAAGATGTATGGCTTTATAATAATTCACTAAGTTATAAGTTTGTGTGGTTCACTCTTGCTGATCTTTATTTTACAGTTAAAAATATCAGAGGCAGCACTCTGCAGTTTATGTGCAGGTGGCTTCAAGCTTTGGTACCCCAAGCAACAATCAAGGAGTCAATGACTGTGATCCTTCAAAACCTTCGCCATTTCACAGGTGCCATCTTTTCTCACAGCATCACCAGGAAGGAGACCTTGTAGCCCAACAGAGGAGGAATAGCAAGAGATTTGAAATGAGAAGGACTTAGGCTAAAGTCTGCTTTCTGCGCTTTTTACTCATTGCCTTCTATTTTATAGCCCCACCATTGTGTAAATTCCCCAGTGCCAAGGAGCTTCAATTTCTTCGTGCATCAAGTAGGGATGAAGTATTGTGAGGATTAGATGTGTGTGCAGTAGTATACAGTAGATGCCCAAGTGATGCTATTACTAAAATTATTCCTACGAGTCAAAGAAGAGGTTGTCGAGGTTCTAGGACCTGGGAAGTGTGTGCCAGGCCACTGCCATGCTGGGTCGTCACTCTAATTGTTCTCACACTTGCTCTCAGCCCAGTGGTCTGTTCTCCCCCTGTGCTCTGCCTGATCCAGGAGGACAGACCCACACAGGGAAACCCGGGGTCACACCTGGGAGCATCTGACCCTTGGGGTGTCCTTCCCTGGAGATATGATGTAGGAAATCCCTGAGTCACCCCGCCAGTGACAAGGTCGATGGCAAAAACTTGACTTTCCCCCCTGGGAGGTGTGGGCTCATCAACAGGAAGCCTCCTGCTCACCAGCCTCCGTCTTCAGCCAGCACTGCTGAGGCCACCAGGACCTGTCCACCAGGACACCACCCTCCTGGAGACAAGTCTGGGTGACATCCTCCTACTCCAGGGGATATTTGGAAGTGTCTGGAGATTTCTGTTGCTGTTGTCATAATTGAGAAGAGGCCACCCGGCAGCTAGTGGGAAGAGATTAGGGAGGCTGAACATTTCACCACTCCTCATAGCAAAGAATTATTGGGTCCAAAGTGTCAATAGGGCCAAGGTTGAGAAACCTGATCTAGAGGGAGATGGGCAAGGGGACTGTGATCTGCAACCTCTAGGGCCTGCCTGGGCACCCTGGCATGTGCCCATTGTACAGACAGAATGCTTGAGGCTATGAGAGGTTATAGTGAAAGTGTTAGTCGCTCAGTCATGTCTGACTCTTTGTGGCCCTATGGACTGTTGCTTGCCAGGCTCCTTTGTCCATGGAATTCTCCAGGCAAGAATACGGGAGCGGGTTGCCATTTCCTTCTCCAGGGGATCTTTCCGACCCAGGGATGGAACCCGGTTCTCTTGCACTGCAGGCAGATTCTTTACCATCTGAGCCACCAGGGAAGGCCCAGTGAGAGGTTATAGGACTTGCCCCAAATGGTTTTCAGACACTAAGGTTCATTCTGTGTTTAAAGACCTATCTCAAAACTTCCTGATAATTGGGATTTGTGGGAACCCTTTAAAATAAGACTTTCAAAGGACAAGGTGAGCCACAAAAAGGAGGTGATGGTTTCCCCCTGTTTTGTGAATTGCTCATAGCGCAGACTTTCAATGGTTGCCCATTCCTGACTCTGAGAATCAGTCCTGCTCCTTAGCCAAGCACACAAGCCCTCTCACATCCAGGCCCCGTTCAGCCCTCCAACCTCACATCACAATCCTCCTGCCTTGTGCTCACTCTTTCAGAGTTTCCTCCACACCCCACATTGTTACGGCCATGCCTTTGTTCATGTTTGCCAAATGTGGTAGGTACTTATTCTGCCAGATGATTTCAGGGGGATAAAAGAGTGACCATTTTTCACTTGAACATTAGATTTTCATTTTAATGTGCATTAGAAAAAAAGAACCTAA